ACGCAGCATAATTCTGCAAGCAGTGATACATTCCCAGCTGCCAATGTGAGCTCCCCTCCCCATTTCCATATCCAAGGCCAGTTCAAGAGTGTGGAGTTACTTCCACACCTCTCCATTTCATCACATGTGGCACGGCTTCTTTGCCACAGAAGCGCTAGCCCTTTTTCGAGGCAGGCTTAGCATCACGCTAGATGCCCCATTTTCAAGCTTGCAAAAACAAATCCAGTATCTTGCACCAACTTTCCATTTGTTGTGGAACTCTCTGACCGTTTTGATTCCTCTGCAAGTGACCAAGTCAACGAGGCCAAATATATATACAGTGGTACCTCGGGTTACATAGGCTTCAGGTTACATACGCTTCAGGTTACAGACTCCGCTAACCCAGAAAAAGTGCTACAGGTTAAGAACTTTGCTTCAGGGTGAGAACAGAAATCGTGCTCCGGCGGTGCGGCGGCTGCAGGAGGCCCCGTTAGCTAAAGTGGTGCTTCAGGTTAAGAACATTTTCAGGTTAAGAACGGACCTCCGGAACGAATTAAGTTCTTAAACCGAGGTACCACTGTACAGTATATATTTAAAGACCAGCCTGAGCCACCAGGAGAAGGGCAAAAACAAACTAAATAAACCGTGTCTTGGTGCTGGTTCAGACTGGGGAAGTTAAAGGCACACTACTGATGTGACCCAGAGGTAATTTAGATTGTTAAGAGTAAACTGCTGAACCGTCCTTCAGCCCAAACTTTAGACTGCCTCAAAAACCACTGCAAACCGGGGGGGGGGGGGGGGGGCGGTGGAGAAACCAAACCCTGTCCCACCCCTGGCAGCCAGTCATGTCCCTCGGATTAAAGTGAGTTTGGATTAACAGCGACCTCCTTTTGCTTGCAGGACACTTTTCTTCCTTTCCTGCGCCAAGCAACCCCTTGACCCGGCACAGATTGTCCTGCTCTCTCTCTCCGTCTCCAACGCCTTCCAGCCCAGGCCTCCCCCTTCCCAGCCCCCACGCTCCTGAATATAAACACACTCTTGTCACACACTCCATCAGCTGTTTGGGTTGCTCCGCCCAAGCCTCGGTTTCCGGGTAGTAACAGAACAGCCAATCGGCTGACTCGCAGGCTCTGTCCGGAGGCCTTTTGCCTGCAAAGACTTTTCCAAAACAAGCAGTCCCTGGGTTGCTCCGGAGCAAGAAGGGAAGCTAAGAACCATTAAAATAAATAAAGGGGGGGGCTAGAAAGAGGAGAGAGGCATCCCTCCAGATTTGGAACTTTAAAAAGATCACACACTAAGGTCATTGATGCCAATTTAGGAAAGGCACCCTAGCCAGGACTAGAAAGGTGTTGAGAGTTGCCGTTGTTTTTTATATTAAAAACCCCCAACACATTCTATTAGTAACTCTGCAATGCAAGAAAGGAACTCAGCAACAAGTCAGCAAAGACAAGAAAAAAAGGCTGGAGCTGCGATTCCCCCCACAAGGTTGAAATGCAACACACACAAGCTTCTCATTTCTTTCAAAGGTTTGCACAATGTTTAGAGAAGCGTCCAAAAAACCAACCGAGTGACTCAGAGTTTCAGATCACCGTCATGCAATTACCAAGAGGAGGCTCATTTCTTTTTAGCTAGGCATGCTAACAACTCACCCATGTAATACAGGACATTGGCCAACCAACCTCTCCCTCTCTGGGTTGCACAGATGTGAGTACACAAGGCCAAAACAAGGGGTGGGGGAACGACAGCAGCAGCACCACCACCCCACCAAACCTGTCAGAGCAGTTAAGTCGACAGCTGCAGACACTTTCTGTGGCCTTCGCTCCCCACCCTATATCCCCAAGTTAGTCAGAGGCTGAAAATCAAGATGAGAGGCGAAGAGGTACTTTGAAAGCAGGAGACGCAGTCCTACAAGAAGCGGCAGCATACAAGGGACACAAGTTGAGGAAAGAGGCATCTCCTCTACTGGAGGCCACCAGAAGGTGCGCTGGGCACCCCTCCGCCTCTAGATTCCAGTGAGCAAACTTTATACATAAATTAAGGCTGCTCTCCTAAGCACAAAATAACTTGGGAGCAATCCCCCCAATGAAAGCAACACGACTTCCAAGTAAACAGCGAGGACTAGGCTGGGTCACAGTTGCTGTGGCCTGCATACCCAAAACACTGACTGTACAGATGCCGAAGGAAAGCCACAGGAAACAAAAAGACCTATTTGTTCATCACACTCACAGGAGAGTCCACATCACTTAAAATACCAGGAATGATCATAAGAACTCTGGTTTGAGGTCTTTTTTTAGCCGTTTAGTTTGTTTCTTTTGTCAAACAGAAGGATCGGCAGCTAACCATGAACCGGAGAGGAATGCCAGGCTATTCGCTGTTCTCCTATCCACCATCAAATTAAAGAGCAACCACAGTACCAATAAGCCAAATGAAGTCATTTTTTTAAAGAAAAACAACCCCTGCTCTTTGTCTCCTAAAATGCTATGATCTTTCAACATGCCAGCTACCAAGTGAAGAGAAAGTGGGGGTGGGGGAGGCAAAAAAGAAAAAGGATACACTACCAGGAGGTCACAGTGGGCCTCATCGCTCCATAATCCGGCTGCCTTTTCAAAATTTATATATAATGAGAATCTCTCTTCTTTTTTTTTGTCACTGAACAGCTGGAGTTCTATCTAGCCTCCCCTCAAACCAGTAAAAATTAACCATCGAATGAAGTTTGTAGCCGAGGAAGGATATGTCATGCATATGCAAGTGAAGCCGAGGATAAAAATAGCTTTGATTCCACAGCAATCACAAGCCACTTCCTATTTATTAAAAACAACATTTTTAAAGGGGGAATCTATAGACAGTTATCAAACACAGGCTTTGTGCTTTTAGAAATGTACAGACAGACAGTTAAGCAAGAGACTGGGGAACTCGCTGTGCAGCGTCAACAATTGACTATAATAATTTCACCCCAGCAGGCCTAATCTAAACAAGTTTGTTTATCTCTGGAAACTAAATGCTATTTGTAACCCTCTCACCCTTCTACATAGTTAATTCCTTCCCGGTTAAATTCTCCTGGGGGAGGTTAACACATTCAATAAACATATCTGAATGCATTTAAGTTGGCTATGTCAACGCCAACCCATCTCTCCTTCCCTCCCCACCACCTAATAAACAGAACTATTAATAAACCTATTCTATACGCAAATTCACTGCACTATTTCAGAAGCTTCACAATCTTCAAATATGCAGACAGGGACAAGGTAACATTCTACTGAGAGGCAAGAACAAAACGTAATTTGGAAAACAAAAACAGATCCTTTACGAAGGGATAAAAGGAAAATCTTCACCGAACTGAAGTGTTACATAAACAAAACCAGCAGCACAAAAAAGGAAAAATGGGTGATGGATTTCTACGGCATTTCGATTCTTTTTCTCCACTGTTACTACTTCAATGTTGTTCTCCAGGTGCTCCCACCCGCATTAACTGCCCCCCCCCAGCTGCCATCAGAAGCTTCCCGAACAGCAGACTAAAACTGGATTGAGTAAATAGTAACACACCACCAGAAGCTGATCACTGGATTGCTAACTGTCAACAACTAGCCTCCCTTCTCTCCCCAGCTAAATGTGGCCCATTGCCCCCCCACCCCACAAAGCATGTATTAATTCTGGTTGGGGAGGGAGAAAGAGAGCACATCTGATTCAGTGTGTGTAGAGGGAGTTGTATTATTATTCAGGCATTGTCACAATACCTGAAAGGGGGGAGCACTGAGTCTGGTCACAATCATTAGCGAGGCAGACAGAGAATAAGTGCTTCCCCCCCCCCCCACTGCCTATATTGTTTCCCTACGAAAATATTTTGGGATTCCTCTCCCAAGACAAAGGGGATTTATTTATTGAAGGCAACAAGGGGTCCTGATTACCCCAAGAGAGTCTGGCTTCAGACACAGGCCTCTACAGCCCCCCCCCATCCGCCAAAAGAACCAGTTTCTTTGGGGAGAGAGAAGAAAGAACGGATTTGAAGAGGTCTATATTTGGGGGCAAGGAAGAGGAGGGTAGGCAATGAGTTCCTGAACCCCCCATTAAAAAATACTAGAATGAAAAGTCCCCAAACTGCGTTCTCATTTCTCAAAGGGGGGTGTCTGAAGGCCTCATTTTACCTAAAAATGAGATATCCCTTCAATGGTATGATGGCGTTGTTGGGGTTTTGGGGGGGGGAGGAAAGATTTTGCTCTGTCTATACCTGGGGTGCCTCATCTCTCTCCCCCCCCCCATTTCCTAGAGCCCAACAAGAACAAAAAAAATAAAATCACCTGGAGCTGCTAGAATTTACTACTCTCCAGGAGTTGCAAGTCTCTTCCCCTCCCCTGAGATTATTGGGGTGCCCTCGCTCTCCAACCCTATTCTAAACCTCTTACTCTGGAGAAGGCTGCTTTCTTCTAATGGGTGGTGCTGAGAATAATTCCATTCTCCTGCTGGTGAAAAGGAGAGGGAAGGGCTTTTCCTCCCGGACCCCCATATTCCAGGAAAGCCTTTGTACACTCCTCAGTTCCAAGGGGTCCGCGATTCTGCGCCCCTCACCTGGAACCGGAGGCAGGGAAAGGGAGAGAAGCAAATCAGAACAGAAACAATAATCGCGCATCTATTCTCTGCGATGGAATAGGCATTCGTCTTCAGCAAGTGGAGGGCACTGCCCCCCACCCACCCCCCAAAAGTACCTGCTTTCACCCCATCCTTCCTTGGCCTGGTGGAAGAAGGAAACCTATTCTCTAGACCCCCACCCCCCCATATGAAGTTCTATTTAAGACACCCAGTCCAGTTTTTTTGAGGGGGGCCCCCTCTCTCTCCCTGCCCCCCAACCATTCCAACAAAGTCTTCCTTTCTCTCCTTATTCCTGCCTCTCACTAACTGCCCCTCAACTGTGTCTGTGCCTTGCTCCCCAATACATTCCAGAATGGGGGGCTGCCCCCCATTTTACCTGCCTTCGCCGCCCCCCCCTCACAAAAAGAACCCCCCCCCCACTCTCCAGGTAAGGATACAGCTTGACCACGTCGGTGTCCATCCGCCTCTTGCCCGGGCTGGGGGAGGACATGGTGGCCCCCCGGCCGGCGGCCCCTCCCGGGCGGAGTCTGGAGCTGCCTCTCTTGTCCTGTCAGGACCCCTTTTCCGCTGGGGGGGCGCTTCAGGAGGTGGGGGTCCGAGCCCCGCGCTGCGCCTGCGCGGAGGCCTCTCCCCCCCCCCGCCGCCCGAGCCCTTCTCGCCTCCGCGGCCCCTCCCTTCACGAGCCGGCTCTTCCTGCCCCGCGGGCTTCCCCCCTCCTCCGCGTCTCTCCTCAGCCTCAGCTTCCTGACCCCCCTCACAGCTTCCTGCGCCCTCCCGCTCCCGGATTGCTGCTCCTGCTCCGGCCGCTGCCTCGGCTCTGCCGAAGCCTCTCTCCGGACCCCTGACGTCACCCACAGTGACCTCACCAAACAGCCCGCTCCGGATTGGACGCGGCCCCGCGTGACGCGGAGAGACGCGCCGGGCCCCGCCCCGCAAGCCCGCCTCCCTCGCCGCTCGGCATGCCGGGAGGTGTAGTCCGCCGGGCCTGAGGCGAAGTCGGGCAGCTGAGGCGAAGGAGAAGGCTGGCCGCGTTATTAGGCCCGCCGACTGGTTCGGCCCGTCGAGGGTTCGAGACCCCGGTTCCCGCCCGCCCCCTCAGGGCCTGGCTTTTTAAATTAAGCCCACATAACCATTTCTCCAGGCGGAGGTTCGTGTCTGAATGCTCGGCCCTGGGTGGTGAGGGCATCTGAGCATGTGCAGAGCGCTTTGCAGGGCGGCACTCCGCAAATGGCAGGCTTGAGGCCCGGAGCCTGTTTTCATTAACTGAGAGCCAGTGGTGGTGCGGTGGTTGGAATGTGCGACTAGGACCTGGGAGAGATCTGGGTTCGAATCTCCACCACTCAGCCGTGAAGCTCCCTGGCGGATGGTCACAGCCTCTCAGCCTGACCTATCGCACAGGGTTGTCATGCTCTACCAACTGAGCCAGGCAGAGGCAAATCCCATGATCCCTAGCTAACAGGACCAGTGGTCAGGGATGATGGGAGGCGCAGGTCAGTTCTGTGTCCAGGTGTCTGCCAGCTCCATCTGGTACGCAGGATGAGACCCTCCCTGCCTGCGGACTGTCTCACCAGAGTGGTGCATGCTCTGGTTATCTCCCGCTTGGACTACTGCAATGCGCTCTATGTGGGGCTACCTGTGAAGGTGACCTGGAAACTACAACTAATCCAGAATGTGGCAGCTAGATTGGTGGCTGGGAGTGGCAGCCGAGACCATTTAACACCGGTCCTGAAAGACCTACATTTGCTCCCAGTACGTTTCCGAGCAAATTCAAAGTGTTGGTGCTGACCTTGAAAGCCCTAAATGGCCTCAGCCCAGTAGACCTGAAAGAGCGGTGAAGGTCCTGTGTGAGTGTCTGGAGGCGGTTGGAGGATGGATGGTGGCTAACAGATTGAGGTTGAATCCTGACAAGACAGAAGTACTGTTTTGGGGGACAGGGGGCGGGTGGGTGTGGGGGACTCCCTGGTCCTGAATGGGGCAACTGTGCCGCTGAAGGACCAGGTGCGCAGCCTGGGAGTCATTTTGGACTCACAGCTGTCCATGGAGGGGCAGGTCAATTATGTGTCCACGGCAGCTGTTTATCAGCTCCATCTGGTACGCAGGATGAGACCTTACCTGCCCGCAGACCATCTGGCCAGAGTGGTGCATGCTCTGGTTATCTCCCCCTTGGACTACTGCAATGCTCTCTACATGGGGCTACCTTTGAAGGTGACCCAGAAACTACAACTAATTCAAAATGTGGCAGCTAGACTGGTGACTGGGAGCGGCCGCCGAGACCACATACCAGTCTTGAAAGAACTACACTGGCTCCCAGTACGTTTCCGAGCACAATTCAAAGTGTTGGTGCTGACCTTGAAAGCCCAAAACGGCCTCAGTCCAGTAGACCTGAAAGAGCGGTGAAGGTCCTGTGTGAGCATCTGAAGGCTGTTGGAGGATGGATGGCGGCTAACAGATTGAGGTTGAATCCTGACAAGACAGAAGTACTGTTTTTGGGGGACAGGGGGCGGGTGGGTGTGGGGGACTCCCTGGTCCTGAATGGGGCAACTGTGCCCCTGAAGGACCAGGTGCGCAGCCTGGGAGTCATTTTGTACTCACAGCTGTCCATGGAGGCGCAGGTTAATTATGTGTCCAGGGCAGCTGTTTATCAGCTCCATCTGGTATGCAGGATGAGACCTTACCTGCCCGCAGACCATCTGGCCAGAGTGGTGCATGCTCTGGTTATCTCCCCCTTGGACTACTGCAATGTGCTCTACGTGGGGCTACCTTTGAAGGTGACCCAGAAACTACAACTAATTCAAAATGCGGCAGCTAGACTGGTGACTGGGAGCGGCCGCCGAGACCACATACCAGTCTTGAAAGACCTGCATTGGCTCCCAGTACGTTTCCGAGCACAATTCAAAGTGTTGGTGCTGACCTTGAGAGCCCTAAACGGTCCAGTATATCTGAAGGAGTGTCTCCACCCGCATCGTTCTGCCTGGACACTGAGGTCCAGCTCCGTGGGCCTTCTGGCGGTTCCCTCGCTGCGCGAAGCCAAGTTACAGGGAACCAGGAAGAGGGCCTTCTCGGTGGTGGCGCCCGCCCTGTGGAACGCCCTCCTACCAGATGTCAAAGAGAACAACAACTACAGTGGTACCTCGCAAGATGAATGCCTCGCAAGACGAAAGGGTTTTTGGTTTTTTGAGTTGCTTCGCAAGACGAATTTCCCTATGGGCTTGCTTCGCAAGACGAAAACGTCTTGCAAGTTTGTTTCCTTTTTCTTAAAACCGTTAATACAGTTGCGACTTGACTTCGAGGAGCAACTCATAGCACGCGGTGTGGTAGCCTTTTTAGAGGTTTTTGAAGACTTTGGTGATTTTTGAAGCTTTTCCAAAACTTTTCCGAAACCGTGCTTTGCAAGACGAAAAATTCGCAAAATGAAAAAACTCGCAGAACGAATTAATTTCGTCTTGCGAGGCACCACTGTACCAGACTTTTAGAAGACATCTGAAGGCAGCCCTGTTTAGGGAAGCTTTTAATGTTTAACAGACTACTGTATTTTAATACTTTGTTGGAAGCCGCCCAGAGTGGCTGGGGAAACCCAGCCAGATGGGCAGGATATAAATAATAAATTCTATTCTATGGGAATTGTAGTCCCAAAACATCTGGAGGACCGAGGTTGCCTATGCCTGAACTAAGCCCCCACAAGACTCTTTTAATATCTCATGATCCTGGGTTCGAGCTCCATGCTGGGGAAATGTTTCCTGCATGGCAGGGGGTTGGACTAGATGACCCCCAGGACCCTTTTCAACTATGATTCTAGGAGAGAACTGTGAACCCCACCTTGAGTTCCTTGGAGAAAAAGGCGGTGATATAAATGCAGTAAATAAATAAATAGCAGAGTGATCTAATTCCTCTCTACGTCTCCTGATTGATTGGCAAAAAGAGGGTCACTGAGCACATGTCGTCCGTCCCAGAACCTGGGTCTAGGATAAGAAAGTAGGGTTTCCTTCTTTTTCTGAAGGTCTTGTTTTGGAAAACTAGGCCTCTTGCAAGTGTGCTTCAGATTCAGTGGAGGCGAGTCAGTGAAATAAAGTATTACTCTTATTTACTGCATTCAATTTGTATACCACCCTTCATCCAAAGATCCGAGTGGCTCATAACAGAAAAATGCAATATGAGAATACAAAATACAGTGGTACCTCGGGTTAAGTACTTACTTCGTTCCGGAGGTCCGTTCTTAACCTGAAACTGTTCTTAACCTGAAGCACCACTTTAGCTAATGGGGCCTCCTGCTGCTGCCGCGCCGCCGGAGCAAGATTTCTGTTCTCATCCTGAAGCAAAGTTCTTAACCTGAAGCACTATTTCTGGGTTAGCAGAGTCTATAACCTGAAGCGTATGTAACCTGAAGCGTCTGTAACCCGAGGTACCACTGTACATAATGCAAAAGCAAATCAATAACACACACACACACAGCCTCCTACAAACACATTTAAAAAGCATAAAATAAAATACTATATCAGTTTGGGAAGAACTGCTACTGACTCAGAGCAGAAAGCAAAGTCTTAAATGCATTGTTTTAAAGTCGCGATTTTAAGAGACCTTTTGGATGAATTGAGGTTGCAGCCTGGCCATCTGAGGTCCAGGCCAGCTGCCCAGCCTAAATGCTGGCAAAAGTAAGCTACTGCTATCATAACACTGATCAGCTGTTGGGCAGGAGCAGGGATGGAATCATAGAATTGTAGCGTGCAAAGGGATCCCCAAGGGTCATCTAGTCCAACCCCCTGCGACACAGGAATCAGCAGCTGGAGAATCCATGACTGATGACCATCCAACCTCTGCTCAGAAACCTCCAACAAAGGAGAGTCCACCACCTTCTGAGGGAGCCCGTCCTGCTGTCAAACAGCTCTTAACCATCAGGAAGGTGAGTCTGAATTTCCTTGTAATTTGAATCCATTGGTTCGAATCCTCCCTTCTGGAACAGCAGAAAACAAGGCCATTCCATGTGGAAACGTGGCAGCCCTTCTGGTGGGAATAACTCTCGGAAACTGAGTTTGGGACCCCTCCCATTTATCCCTAACATTTGTTTGTTTGTTTTTTCCAAAAAAAAATTGGTTTTCTCTTATAACACATAGACATAAACACAAAAGAAAAGCATTACACTTAACGCAACATAAAAACATAACAACAATAAAAACAAAAAAACAAAAGAATAATTATTTCTTCTTGTTTCCTGGTATATTTACATTGCTAAAAGACTTCCTTGACACCCTCCAATCTGAGTTTCATCATATCACTTATTTAGCAGTTCCCAATTTCATATTTATAACACCAATGTTTTTTTTTCAAATACAAATTTCTTATCTTTCCTTCCTGTTGTAATCCATAATATTCACTATTATTAATCTTTTTCTATCCCTCAGCCTAATCTGTTACTTCTAGGAATTTCTTAATATCTTATATTACAATACCTAGCTAAATATTCTTTAAATTTCTTCCAATCTTCTTGTGTTTCCTCCTCTTTCTGATCGAGGATTCTTCCAGTCAAGTCAGCCAGCTCCAAAATGTTTATCCCTAACATTTGACCAAGCTGTAACTCAGGAGACCGCTTCCCCTTCTAGAACCCCACATTTTCTTTTACTGTGAGGATCGATAAGGGCGTTAAGAACAGGGCCTTCTCCGTGGTTGCCCCATAGCCAGGGAACTGGAAGAAGTTTGGTGATGTTTCTCTTCATTAGCCTTCTGAAGGCAATAAGGCTCTCCTTTTGAAACCCAGCTTCAGGCGCTAAGGCCTCTTTTTTGTGTGTTTAGGGAGGTATTCCTGGCTTGTTGAAACTGGAGGCACCCA